GAATCCTCATAACCCAGCTGCCAAAGGTTAAGTGATAATCTTTCAATCTAGTAATATTCTGTCTCTTTGGGAGAACCACCTCTTCGAAATAGAAAAACAAAATGTATTTTTTAAATTTATTTATTTATTTATTTGTGTGTGTGTGTATGTGTGTGTGGCCAGCTCAACCCACCAGGAGGCAGAGCTGGCTAGCATGTGGTGCTGGGGGATTGAACTGTAGTCCCTCTGCTTTAAGCTTGTTCTAAGTAGATGCTTTAGACCACTGAGCCATCTTACCAGCACAACAAAATGTATTTTTGAGCATCACTATATTAGTCTGTTTTCCATTGCTATAACAAAATAGCTGAGGCTAGATAACTTGTAAATAAAAGAGGTTTACTTAGGTCATGATTTTGGAGTCTGAAAGTCCAAGCTGCATGGTACAGGCTCTTGCCAAGGGCCTGACTCTATCACACCATGGCAGCATCCTCCTGACAGGCATATGAGAGGGAGATGGAAACCCAGACAGTGAGGACAGCTAGTCTTGCTCTTTTATATCGACCATCTCTGGAGAAATAACCAGGGGCCATAGGAGCTTGAGAGAGAAGTACCCAAGAGCTCTCATGAGGCCCCACCTCTTAAAGAGCCCATCACCTCTCCCATGGCCACACTGGGGACCACACCTTCAGCATACGATGAGCCTCCTGGGCCACACATTCAGGCCACACCCCAGCCACAGCAAGGCCCAAGGACCAGGCACTTTGTCAGTCTTACCTCATCTGAAAGCAAAAGCTGAAATCACCCTCCAAGGTACTCACGTCTGCCCTGCAGGTCCAGGGCTCCAGCGAGCCTGCTGTCACTGGCAGGAAGCCTCACTTGCCTCTCTCGCGCGACAGTGGGAACTTAATTTCTCCCATTCAAGCTACCGTGCAAGAAGAGAAGTCAGCTTTCATTGCCTAGCAAATGTATATGCTCAAGAAGGACAATGATGAGAAACAAATTAAATAAGAGATTAAACGGCCCTGAAAAGCTACATGCCAGATACACTCACCACATCTGTGCAATGTGACAATGGCCATTTAGCCCATTCATCTATAGGCTTGTTTTCCCCACAAGTTTGTCATACAGTTAAGTTGATTATGACTCCAGGATCGTTACCGCATTTCTCTTTAAAATGAATGACCAAAAACAGATCCTGCTCAGCTCTCTAGCAAGGCATGAGACCAGCAGCTCCTTTCTTGTCACGAGGACTGCATGCAATGCAACATGGCCTTTATTTATCTATTCATTTTCTTTCTCTCCATCAATGGTATTAGATGACTGGCTTCTTGTAGTCCTTTTGTGATGCACTCAGGCCCCTGGTTCTTTCCCGCAGAGCTAGAGACAACATTAGTGTGGTTCCTCCACAGTGCACTCTGAGCCCCACAAACAAGGTGTTCAGAGAGAGGGATCCTCAGCCCCTCCGATGCCACAGAGGAGCCAGGGCCCAGCAGCCGGGACCTTTTCTCCACATTTGCTGTTCAGGACAGTGAACAGCAGGGTGACGTCCACGATCCCAGCACTCCATCCCCCTATTGCACAGAGGAGAAATCGGTTCATCACAGTACAGCAGCATGACCACAGTGATGATCAGCTACCACGAGAGAGCCAGTACCTGGGGACCCTAAGTTCAAGCGGGACAGGTGGGGAGGCTGCTCATAAGAACTTCCATGGTCTATAGGAGTTACTAGAGTCTGCTTGTGAAAGGAAGGGCAGACAGAGGGAACAGAATGTGCTAAGCTCTGGGACCAGGGTCAGGGTAGTATACTGAGGACCTGCAGCCGTGCAGTCTGTGCGGAGCGGGCAGTTGGCAGGGGGAGCAGGCAGAGCGCTGTTGAGCACAAGGGTTTGTCAGCTGAGCTGCAAAGGTGCATTTCTTCAGCATTTTGATTCATTTATTTCACAAATATTTAGTGAGTGCCTAGTATGTGCCTGAAATTATCATAATATCTAAGGATATAACAAGGGATGAAAAAATTTCTTGCTTTCATAGAGCTTTTATTCAAGTCGGGATATGACATGGTTTGCATCCAGATCCCAGAAGTCCCTTGGGTGCAGAGGAAGAGCTTTGGGAAGGTTCTAGACCATGGGGCGTTCACCTCATTGATAGCGAACCCACTGAGTTCATAACTGAATGTGCCATGGGTGTACGACTGAGTGGAAGAGATAGGTCATTGTGGGCGTGAGTGGTGGGTCTGTTCTCTAGCTCTTCCCATCTCTCTGCTTCCTGGACGCCATGAGTTGAACACCACTCCTCCACCTTTAGCCTTGGAGCCAGCCCTTCATGGACAATAACCACTGAAACCAAGAGTCAAAATAAACTTCTCGTTAAATTGAAGGTGTCTGATGTTTTGTCCCAGGAACAGAATGACTAATGCAGGAGATACATAATATGCACCTCAATAGAAATTTCAGCCAATAAAAAAATAAAGGTGGGTCATAATGACAGACATGACTGGGCAGGGTGGTAGGGAAGGATTTCTTTAGTGAGGGTGGTCAGGGCAGGCATCTTTTCTTTTTTTTTTTAATATATGTAGTACAGGTCTACAAGGTCTCACTACACAGATTGGACTCATAGTGATCCTCCTGTTCTCAGCCTTCTGAGCTCTGGGATTGTAGGCACACACTACTACACCCTGTCTCAGTTGCCATCTCGGTGCACCCCAGGTGCAAGACTTGCATGGTACGCAGGGGTTCAAACCCCAGTTGCAGGTGCTTTAGTCCACTGAGGTATGTGGCTGACCCTTTTTTTCTTTCTTTTTTTTTTTTTTTTTCTTCAGTACTGGGGATTGAACTTAGGACCTTGCACTTGCCAGGCAGGCATTTATGGTGCTGAGCTACCTCCCAGGCTCGTAGGCCTCTTTAAAGGGAAAATATGTGGGTTAATTTTTGAAGGAAGAGGAACAGGCAGTCATGGGTTGGCCTAGGAGAGAGTCCAACAGTCTTCTCCAGTGGACTGAAAGAAAAACAGGCTCCTACTGGAATTTTAGAAAAGCTGGTATGGCTGAAGTGACAGGAGATGAGAAAGTCAGGGAAGGTGACCAGGCCTTGTAGTCCACAATCTAGAATTTGCGTTTCATTATAATTACAAAAGGAAACCACAGTGGAACATAAAAAGTAGAAAAAAGACTATGTCTGGAGCTCACCTGAGCAGCTCTGCTGATCTCAGGCAGGCTCAGGGGACCTAGATTGGCCTTGTATCTACATTAGCTAGAGGCCAGTTGGTTTAGGGTGGCCTTGCCCAGGAAGACAGCTGGCCTCTGCTCTGGGCATATCCTCTAACAGGTGAGGCTGGGCTTGTGCTCAGGACGCTGGCAGTGCACAAGGCCTGAGCTCAGGACTTGTACAGCAATGCACTTGGAGCATTCTAGTCTGCAGCCTCCAAAACAAGGCCCAAGGCCAGCTCAGACTCAAGGGGAAGGAGCAGACTGCACTATGGAAGAAAGGAGCTGGAGAGCCACATTGCAAAG